GATTACTACTCTCTCAGCCCAATGCTCCAGCCAGTTTTCTATCCACCTTACAGTCCATTCATCCAGACCGTACTTCCTTAGCTTGCCTGTAAGAATGTTGTAGGAGACTGTATCAAAAGCCTCGTTAAAATCAAGGTACATCACATCCACTGGTCTTCCTGCATCCACAGAGCCGGTCACCTTGTCATAGAAGATTGGTCAGGCATGACTTGCTCTTGGTGAATCCATGCTGACTGTTCCTAATCACCCTTTCCTCCTACAAGTGCTTAGAAATCGATTTCTTGAAGATGTGCTCTATGATTTTTCCAGGTACTGAGGTGTAGCTGACTGGTCTGTAGTTCTCTGGATCCTCCTTTTTCCGTTTTTTAAATATGGGTGTGAAAAAGGCACTGAGTACTTTAGCTTTTTCTGCATCCTCTATCACAAGGTTGCCTCCCCCATTCAGTAAGGGATCCACACTTTCCCGGATCCTCCTCTTGCTACTGACATACTTGGAGAAACCCTTCTTATTACCCTTCATGTCCCTTGCTAGCTGCAACTCCAGTTGTGCTTTGGCCTCGCTGACTTCATTCCTGCCTTGCTCTTATATCCTTTCCTAGTTATTTCTTCAAGTTTCCACTTCTTAGAAGCTTCCTTTTTGTGATTTAGTTTACTGAAGAGTTCCCTGCTAAGCCAAGCTGATCTTCTGCCATACTTGTTATTTTTCCTGTGCATCAGGATGGTTTGTTCCTGCACTCTCAGTAAGGCTTCCTTAAAGTATAGCCAGCTCTTCTAGACTCCTCTCCCCCTCAGACAGGCTTCCTAGGGGATCCTTCCCATGAGTTCCCCGAGAGAATCGAAGTCTCGTTTTCTGAAGTCAGCTGCTCTTCATCCTTCTTTTCATCAGGATCCTGAACTCAATCATCTTGTGGCTGTTGCTGCCCATGTTGCCATCCACTACTACATTCCCCACCAATTCTTCCCTGTTTGTGAACAGCAGATCAAGATGAGCACGGTCCCTAGTTGGCCACTCTAGCACTTGCACAAAGAAGTTGTCCCCAGTACACTCCAAAAACTTCCCGGATTGCCTGTGCACTGCTGTATTGCCCTCCCAGCAGAAGTCAGGATGGTTGAAGCCCCCCATGAGAACCAGGGCCTGTGATCTGAAAACTTCCAGTAGTTGTCTGAAGAAAGCCTCATCTACCTCATCCTCCTGATCTGGTGGACTATAGCAGACCCCCACTACAACATTTCCCTTGTTTCTCTCTCCTCTGACCCTAACCCAGAGGTTTTCAACAGGCCAGTCTTCAGTTTCATACTGGAGCTCTGAGCAATCCTATGGCTCTTTTATATACAATGCAGCCCCTCCTCCTCTTCTGCCCTGCCTGTCCTTCCTGAACAGTTTGTACCCATCCATGACAGTGCTCCAGGCATCCGAGTTCCCACCAAGTCTCTGTTATTCCAATCACATCATAGTGCCATGACTTTGCAAGGACTTCCAATTCTTCCTGCTTGTTTCCCAGACTCCATGCATTTATGTACAGGCACCTGAGGTAACTAGTCAATCACCCTGATTTCTCAGGATGAATGAGGACACCTCCTCTGTTATCCCCTCCTGCTTGCTCTTCTTCCAGGTCTCCAGCTTCTCACTTACCTCACGGCTTTTTCTCCATCCCCCGGCAAACCTAATTTAAAGCCCTCCTCGCTAGGTTAGCAAGCCTGTCTGCAAAGATGCTCTTCCCTCTCTTCATCAGATAGATCCCATCTCTTCCCAGCAATCCTTCTTGGAACATCATCCCATGGTCAAAGAAGCCAAAGCCCTGCTGGCAATATCACATTCACAGCCAGACACTGATCTGCAGGATGCACCTGTTCCTGCCCAAGCCCTTTCCCTTGACCAGAAGGATCGAACAGAACATCACCTGAGCTCCAATCCCCTTCACCCTTGCACCCAGAGCTCTGTAGTCACTTTTGATCTCCTCAGGGTCTCCCCCGGCAGTATCATTGGTGCCCACGTGGATGGCCAGCATGGGGTAGTAGTCAGAGGGCTGGATGAGTCTCAGTAATCCCTCTGTGACATTTTGAATCTGGGCTCCTGGCAAGCAGTAGAATTCCCGAGGCAACAGGTCAGGTCCCCTGGCAGAAGGGAGTCTCCAACCACCACCACCCATCACTTCTTCTGGGTGATGGTGGTCTCAATCCTTCCCACCTTGGTGCAGCCTGGCCTGTCTTCCTCCATCAATGGAACATGCTCTCGCCCTCTGTTGCTAGGGCTCCATATCTATTCTCCAGACAAATTGCTGCAGGTGGAGATGAGGATTTCCACTTGCTGCCAGAGGTCACAAGCTTCCAGCTTCCACCTTCCTGGCAGTCCATGTCTTCTCCCTTCTGTAGCGCTGCCTCTGGCAGTTCTTCCTCCACAGTCCCAGATGTTTCTTCCAGCACTGAATCAATGAACTCCTCATGGTGGAGGATGCTTCAGAGCCTTACCACCTTCTCCTGTAGTTCACTTGCCTGTTCCCTGAGAGGCACCACTAGGAGGCACCGCTCACACTGTAGGTACTCCTCAACCTGACCATCACCAGAAGGAACCTGGAAGCAGCAGTTCCAACAGCACCAAACCTGGAGCTGGGTAGAAGCCTTGATTGTGAATGGTCCTGCCTGGCCAGAAACCTCACAGGTGCAAGCAGAGGCAATGGCAATGGCTCTGGCATTGCAAAGTCCTCCAGCCATTTCCATGGGTCTCTTAATCTGCCCCTTCTCTCTTACTGCCCTTCTTCCAACCACACCTTCCCTAGTGAACTCACCTGGAAGCTGTACTGTTTACTGTTTCTTGACCCCCCAAAAATCCTTTTTTCCTGCTTCCTCACTAGGTTTGCTATTCATCCAGTTTTATAGAGGACAGTCTGGTTTTCTGGTCCTCTGTCCTTTATTGATATGAAACCGGACACATTTATGTCCTCTATTTTTCACCGCTTGGCACCCCCCACTGCCAACACTGCCGTGGCCACCTGTGGGAGCTCCCCACTTACCACCGCTATGCCCCTGCCACCGCCGACACCACTGACACTGCCAGGACTGCCTGCAGGAGCTCCCCACTCACCATCGCCATGCTCCTGCCGCTGACACTGCCACTGCCGCCTGCAGGAGATCGTCGTGCCCCACCCCCCCAGCCTCTGGAGGCATGTGATGTTCATGGCAGTGGGGACAGTTACACTAAATACAGCAGACCTGTATTCTTGAGGTACATCGATGGCCACCCTATTTCTCACACCAAGCTGAAAGGCTCTCCCCTCAAAGGAGGGGCAGGACAGCAATCTGATATGCAAACTGACTAGCGAACTGCCTGAAAACTGCTTGCCCTGTTTGCTGCCCCTGTTCGCTGGTTCCCTGGTCTCTTAGGGAATCTCCTTTTATACCCTGCTGGGCCTGGACTGGCTGTGCCCCCTTGTTAGGTCTTCTGTCAGGCACAGGCAGCAATCACTTAGCAATCAGCAATCACTCATCTAGCAACACTCCCAGCTTCTCCGAGCACATGCCCCAAACACACACAGCCCACCAAACAACACTCAGCAAGCCAAAGGTAAGGGTCTGGTGCCTGGTGCCTGGCTTCTCTTCCCCTTCCTCTTGCTCCCAGCAAACTGCTTGCAAACTGCTTGCCTTGTTTGCTGCCCCTGTTCACTGGCTTGAACAGGAGAACCTCTATGTATTTAAATCGTATCCCAAATAGATAGGATCACTGTTCTGAGCTAGGGTCTTAACTTGTATCAACAATTACATTAAGGCATACTGCATACAGTCCCATTCCCTGGAATGCAGGAGACTTGACTATATAGCCTACCTTTGCATCATAGTTTATAAATTTTACATTATGCAGTCACTGTTTAAAATGAGAAATAAACATGGCAGCAATGGACAGAACCCATGATACACACTTTCAGAAGAGGGCCCTATGCACTAGGCTAGAGGCAGATTCTCTCTCATTCATTCTCCATTTTACCACTTGCATTCTTGAGTACTCGGTGCTCCAAATTTAACAGGAAAGATACAGTGTGCCTACATTAAGCCTGTTCCATTGCCAGATAGTTAGGGCACTCTTTTGGGAAATAGAAGCTCTGGGCTTAAATCTCATTAGGGCAACCAGGGATCAAGAAGCCAGTTGTCCAATGTCCTGACAAAATATTCTACCTACTAAGTTCTTGTGCAAAAAGTGGCCAGTACCAGCACTACACACATCCTGAATCACCTGCCTTCAGGAACTCAGCATGAAGCGATCTGTACGCTTTGTACAGAATACCTGGAAGCTTTAACTTGACTCATGCTTAGATATATATCATCTCACCATTGATTCTAAGAAGATGCTAAATGCCTAATTGGGTCATGTTGAATCATGCTCCTTGTTCAGATATTTAGAAGTCAGGCACTGTCCTGCCTAATTTTAGACATATGCTGAGGAAATTTGAATCCTTCCTTTAGAGTTTATCATATATATTTTAATGCATTTGAAATAAAGCTAAGAGGGAGTTCCTAAAGAATATTTAATTTGTTTATAGGCACCAGTGTGAGGTGAAAACCTGTATGACTAGAAGAGATCTGTTGTTCATTTTTTTCCAGAAACACTGGTTTAACTTTTTTTTAATGATGCTTTTCACTGCTATTGGAAAAAAGGACTTTTCCCATGACTTTGGCCACCAGTGTGATTTTTTTTTAATACCCCTATGCCCTCAAAAACCATGTTTTTCTTAAATTACTCTAATTCCTTAATGTATCTGAAAAGTAAAGCTTTCAGGAATGTTTTCACTGAATTTACAAGAAAGAAAATGGGAATATATATGAATGATTATCTAAGCAATGCTGTTGCGTGGCAGCATATGTCAGTATGCTAGTGTCAGGCAAATTAGAACCATATAAAAACATAAAAATCCAGCTTGTAACACAAATAAAAGAGATGGATGCTACAAATAAGACAAATAGTTATTACTACAATAGCATTTTAACCTGACCAGTTACACTAATCGTACCTGGGCATCGTGGAGTTTTATGTGCTACAGCTGTTCCACTGATTGGACGCCCATTGGGTGTGACACACCAACAGTATCCGGTGTAACTATGGCACTGAACCTGTCAGGAAATGACATTAAGTGTGTGAAATCTATGATACATATGGTTACCATTTCAAAATGTTCATGACACCTACTCTACATATCAAGATGTTTCTGTCTAGTGCAATGAGGCCCTCCAGCAGAATATTTTTTTTTAAGTGACCAAACCTTTTTTTTTGGTTGCATCTAGTAAAATGATCTGTCATGGGACCATAATTCAAGTCTTATCATGAGATCCTTTAGCATAAAAGCAGAGTCCCTTTAACCACTGTGTGGTAGGTGTTTCTTTGGAGAGATGAAGAAAAAACAGTTAAAATGTGCCTGCCTGTGTTGTCCCCTATACCAAAAGGATAAATAGTGTTATGGAAAGCTCATAAAAGTTTCTCAGAGGACACACGGGCTGATTGTTCCTGAAATAAACCACCAATAGCTTTTTCCAGATAGACAACTTGTCTCCCACCCACGGGAACAACAGGAACAATGCTTCATCCAGCGTTACTCATGCCCCACACTGTCAGAAGACAAACTCTCAGAATGCTGCATTTAAATTAATTGTTTTGTATTCCTAGCATCTTAGCATTACCCCTAAAGTCCACTGTCACTTTCTCTACTGTAGTATTAATTATTTAAATGGATAATACCGAAGAGCTGAAAATGAATCAGGCCAACGTTCAACATGATTTAACAAATTAAATATATGACAATGTTTCACTTATATTATATCATGTTAAGCCTCTAATTATATCCCCTTTGGATTCTAAGTCCTAGCCCAAATCCCAAGATGCCCATGAAGAGATTCAGCTGAGGATAAGGAAGATTCCTGCATGACTCCCAATACTGGTAATAAGATACAAACTCTTTCACAGCATGGCATAAATGACACACAACAGGTAACTATTCTGTGAGCTATGAGAAGTGATTTAGTAGTCAACCTAGTACATAGATCGGTGCATACTTCTCAAGAACTTCTGTCATATTCAGCTCTGTTATTGGCAGCTTCTGAACAAAGAACAAGGATTCAAATGTCACAAAATGTGAATTCTCCTCCTGCTTCTGTACTTCAGCATTAGTGTAATGTCTTCAAATAAGCCAGGGTATTTCTCACACATACACCACACATACATATTCTGGGCATGGAAGTACTGAAATAAAAGTTTTCAACCTGGCTGTATGTGCCATCATCATTGCACTCTGGAATAAACACTTGCTGTAACTCCTTGCGGGCTTGTTCCTGGGTGTACTTCCTCTCAGCCACACACCTGGAAACATCTGAAAAAGAGAAAACAAGCAAGTTAGGACCTCACCTCAAGTTTTCTAGACTTGGCCCCTTTGCCAGTACCTGGTAGAACTATGCATGGAACCGGTGTGGAAGCTCTCTGAATGTGTGGGATCCCAAAGTCTTTCACTGGCACCATCTACAAGGTTTAGGACAGTTTAGGCTGGGGTTCTAGCAAAAAAACTGTCTTAAATGAGCACAGCATCTAAAGTGCTATATTAGTGCAGAGTACTAGTAGTAACCATCTTCTGAGTGATGGATTAGAAATTAAGAGCTCCTTTATTCTAAACTTAGCTCTCATATTAATTCCATTTGTGAAGATGAGCAAGTCACTTCTGAGCATTAGTTTGCCCATATATAAAGTGGGATTTATAATACTTCCCTCAAAGGAATGTTGTGAGAATGAATCAGTCCATGTTTGTAAAATGATGTGAAGTACAAAGTATTGCAGCTTTGACATACTGATAAGATTAAATAAATTAAATCATTATGATGTTTCAGGCCCAATATGTCATCTAACATGATCAGAAGCATTCAGTCATCCACAAAGACATGGAAGAAGTAAGCTAATATAAGGTTAAATTGTTTTGTACCAGTACTTTAATACCTTGTTAGATTTTAACCAAGGGAAATTATAGCTAATGTACTGTGTAGTGGAGGTAGAGGTTGTTAGTTTATCCAGTGTCACTGCTACAAAATAAAAAAAAATGTTTTAGCTAGCTTCAATGTCTTAGGCCTTATTCTGAGTCTTGGTTTGGTTATAGAGCGCTTAATAACATGTGGTTTTAATACAGTCAGTGTTTTAACTGAAAATAAATCACTCTTTTGATGGACCTTTCTCCTCATTTTTTGTGTAGAATGGCATGTGGTTTAAGTGTCTAAAATGAAAAGTGATATAAATTCTAGCATATAAGGGCTCTACTACAATACTGATAGAGTTATAAATGATCTCTAATAGTTGTATTATCACAGAGGCATGCCAAAGGCAGATAAATTCTCCAAACGACTTGCCTACCACATTATTCTTGTACATCTCCAATTTCTAAGGCTACATATTTGCAGCCAGTCTAATACTTCTAGAATCTACAGTGATCAAATTAAATGGAATATGAAATTCAAGATTAAAGTGTAGTATTTCTTGGGTTTTTTAGCCGTAGGAAGCATTTAAAACTTAGTAGCATGGAATTACAGGTCCCCTTTAAACCACAAAAAAACCTGATAGAAAGTAGTCTTATCAACCTTAGTAGCTGAAACAATGAACAGTTAAAATACTATTTCTGATATAGCCTTGTGAATTATTCAGCTTTATTCCTTTGTCAAGATATCACTATAACACACGGAAGAAGTATGATACAGTTAAAGTTAGGGGTGCGGTAGAAACCGATAAAAGCAAAGAAATGTAAAAGCACGGTCAAGATAAAGAAACATATTAAATATCCTGTTTTAACACTGACACATTAGAATAACAATTTGAAAGGCTAAATTTATCCCAAATAAAACTTCATTAGATTTAAAGGAGTTGTTATTGATTTTTTTTTTTTTTTTTACGGTACAGCTTAGCGATCCCAGTCAAATGCAAGGACCTAATTGTAAAAGGCTGGATCTTTATTTCCATTTCCCCGGATGGGTAATTGATGTCCAGAAAGACCAACTTGGCCCAAAATCAAACCAAATGTTTGTGGCAAAAAGGATCACACAAAGGGATCCCACTTCTTCAGATCACACAAAACCATCCTTTCTGTTAAGTAATAACAAGGATAATTTTGTACTTAAGCACTTTATTATTTTAGGCTGCAAACCTAGATTAAAATATGCTGATACCTACCCCACAGGTTTATTCTAAGTATGAATTAGTTCATGTCCCTGATTCTAATATTTTTTACTCCAGTATAAATCAGAAACAATTCTTCTGAAATGATTGGTCTCACAATGGTACCAAAGAGTATGAGATCAGAAAAGAGGGAATGTCCAAGAGTTATCCTGAAGATAAAAAGCACTGTACAACTCTAAGCATTGTTGTTAGAACAACCTTGTACCATCACAGAGCTGCTATATTTGGGTTTCCAGCTCCACAAAGAAAGTTTGATTTTTTTAAATAACAAAATCTGTTTTCATTCCATTAAAAAAAATAATGGAAAAAAATTATCTCGTTATATTAAGGGTCTGGATCTTTTGGTAGCGTGTGAATGGAATTTCCACTGAACCCAATCTTCCTCTTCAACGTAAGTATTAATAGGGGGGAAAAAATCACTGGTAATTTACAGGCCCAAACTAAAGTAATATCTGAAGAATGGCTAAAAGACTAGTTCTAGTACATATCAAAAGGTTGAGGTCTTATTTGTTCATACTTAGACAGCAGAGTATCTGACTCTGCACACACGCGCACGCGCACACAATTTCAAATCATGTGAGTGGTATCTCTGACTTCTGTACTCTGGGAAAATGGGCTGGAGAAACATAAAGGATTCCTAAAATTCTCACTTTCTGTCTGGGAGGGAATTCTCCTGGCACAAAAATTGACTGGGATATTTATATACTGCAGTCAAGTCTCTGAGCACAATCTTTAAATGATCTGGCTTAGGTATCAGCATCAACAGGGCTATGGCTATTTCTTGAGGACATTGCCTCAAGCTTTGGTACAGGGATGTATGTGGCAGGTAGCAGGAGGGGTGGGATAGGATTGAATAGCAGTTCACAATATACAGGGGTGTCCACATGGGATATTTACCATGCGGTTGATTAATTAACTGCACAGTAAATGTCTCAGTCAGTATGTACATGTGTGTCCCTATCAGGGCACAAAAGAACTAATAAACTCTGCAGCAGGATAGTGCTTGTAAAAACTTCCCTGTAAATACAAGCACTACCCTGCTGCAGAGTCGTTTCTTGCGCAGCAGCACAAGTGTAGGCACTGCCTGCTGGTTAGCCCCCACACTGAAGCACCCTCATGCCCCAGTCAGCTCCTCCACAGCACATTGAGCCCAGTCAGAGCAACCCTGAACTGGGAAGCTAAAGCACCCCGGCCCCCTGCCAGCTCAGGCTGCTCCAGCCCAGCTCAATGTGCTGCAGGCCAGGGTTTGCTGCTAATATTAAAAGTGATCTAAATTCTAGCATATAAGGGCTCTACTACAATACTGATAGAGTTATAAATTATCTTTAATAGTTGTATTATCACAGAGGCATGCCAAAGGCAGATAAATTTATTGCAGATAAATGTAAACAGTGTGCCTGGGAGCTTCCAGGGAACATGCTGCACATTAATGACACGTGTAGATGCACTCACACAGCTGTAGATGTTACACGAAGTAAAGGAAATCCAGAGAAACTGTTGTAATTCAGACAGGACCATAGGACTGTTTAAATTACAGTGGTGACCACTCGCCCCTGGAAGGCACACATTAAACTGTAGCCATATTAACACTGTGGTAAACCTCTAACAGGCCTAGTGCCCTGAGCGAAACGTGCATATTTGCAAGATCTAGAACCAAGTTCTAATGTCCAATAAAAATAGAGGCACGGCACTTTATATTTCATTCCTTAGATGCCCAAAATAACCCTCAAATTAACGGGAATTTGAAATATGCAAAAGGGTGCTTAAAGCAACAGTAGTCTTATAGCTACCAGAGGAATTACATGTACTGGAGAGTCTTTCTCCAGTTGATCAAGTGTTTGGTCTCTCACACAACATCAAGGGAAAATTATCACCTTTAATTCAGCTGGCTAAGTCTGCAAGGGTATATCATAGGGAGAAAAGTTTCTGCCTGAAAAACCTTGAGCTTTATTATGGAAACAATGACACAATCTTAGCATTGATGCAAACATCATTTCTAAAATGACATCCCAGTGTGAATTGAATTTATAGCAAGTTTTGGATTCCCTAGGAAGTGCTAACCCCAGTTCTCAAATGGAAAAGTAAATAGAGTGCCAAGAAAATACATAAATCTTCTGCAAGGTTTTTGATTTAGTTCATCCTGCATTTTTTCTATAAGGCTGCATATAAAGATATATAATTTCAAGAAGAAGAAAAAAAACACATTCCCTAATCCACTAAGTAGCCTTTACTTGGTTCAGGGGAAATGAGTATGTCTGTCATGGAGCTGTTATGCATTTATACATAAAATGCTCTAAGTGTTTCTTTAGCTATTTATTTCATTAAAGATGGAAAATCCCATGGAACAGATCAGAAACATTTATCACTTTGTTAAAATGATTTACGAGGTCTCCCATGGTTGTTCACATATGCTTAGCTGTTCTTATGCTGAACAGAAAGCTGAACAGATATCCATGCAAATTTGAAAAAGCCAGTCTAAAATAAAAATACATAATCTAGAAACTACTTTTTGGAAGGGTCCCCTTTCTGGGCCTGCTACCTCTTACGGTGAAGTTACACATTAGAGTTAGCGGGTGATAAGTCTAAGGAATGTTAATTTATGTTAAGGTTAGCCAGCGCTAGGGATCAGTCAAACATTCGGGGTTAATACCCTCCCTAATATGAACTGCTCAGGCCTGCTGATAGAGGGCTGGAGAACAGGGGCATGGATAGAAGTTGCAAGTCTGCTTCTTGTCTGCCCCACTCTCTGGCTCTCTAGCTACAGTATAGGACTGGGAGGAAGGAGTGAAGGGGTCCCCTGGACTGTTTGGAAGGGCCAGACTTAGGGAAAATGGTGCCCTGGGCAAATTTGCATTTTGGTTCCCCCTCCCAAGACAGTGGAGCTGCTGCAGGTAGAGGAAGAGGCAGGCAGGCAGGGGTGCAGGGCCACAGGGTGAAGTCCAGCAGGGAGGCAGAGTGGCATGGTGCACTAGGCAGGCAGGCGGATGGGCAGCATCACAGCTGCTGTGCAGGATCAAGGTGGGCTGACATGCCCTGCCCAACGCCTCCTAAGCAGTGGCTACAGGCGGGGATCAGACTGGGCTGGGCACTGCTCCTCCTGCCTGGGGCATTTTGGTTCCCCCTCCCAAGACAGTGGAGCTGCTGCAGGTAGAGGAAGAGGCA